GAAAGAGAAACACGGTCGATCTTCACCATTCAACTTTTATTTTTTATTTTTACGATTTTTCACAGAGACAGAAATCTGTGAAAAAGATCGATCGATCGGGCGATCTCTATCGACTAAAAAAGAATCTTTCAGAAATGGTTAATTCGTTTCAGATGACAGACATCACATGCTGCCGACCGGGGAGCTGCTGGTGTTCTCGGTGACATCGTCCGACGCCCAGTCGAGCTATCGTTGCAGGACCGTGCACCGTGTCACCGGCGACACCGTGGAAAGTTCCTCGTACGCGAGGCTCGTGGTCACCGGTAAGTTTTCAACACGCGACCCGCGTATCGTTCAACCACAGACGGTCGAACTTTCGCCCCGCTGAATATTTAATGGCTGCAAGTGCACGCTTGAAATTTCGTGTAAACCATCGCTATGCGTCGACTGGAAACGCGTCAATAATTGCGCTCTCTTTCTCTCTCTTTCTCTCTCTAATCGTTTGTTTCTTACGCAACGTTTCCAGGGCAGTAGGGAATTCGTGGCTGTTTATGCAAATTGAATAGAGAGAGAGAGAGAGATAGAGAGGGGCAGGGATTACGCAATGGGAGAACGTTGGTTTATTGGTTAAATAAGCGATGAATTATGAAATGGTTTAAACTCGAACTCGTCCATTAAAATTCTAGTATCCGCATCGCCGAATAACGGTCTAAATCGTTTGAATTGGATTATTCGCGTGTTCCTCTTTCCGATAACGATAAATTTAACAACGCGTTGGTCACAAGTTGGTGTAGATTTTTTTAGTAAGGGATCTTAGAAGCTGACCAATCACGTTCGTTCGGATCGTGGGAAATGAATTCGAAAGGATCTTAAAATGAAATCGTGAAATACAGACATAGCGAGTATCGGAGTGTGCCACTTGACTCCGGATGAAGTTGACGCGGCATAAATAGAAACTTCAAAGTTGATAATTGCACAGGTACGAGAGCTCACTCGCTTCACTCGATAATTGAATTTTACAATAAATTTCGTTTTACGCAACGAATAATCCAATTCTAAAATCTACTTGATTAAATTTATCCCAAAATTGTTCCTTCGACGCTTATTGTCATTTAACATACATCAATATCATGAATTAATATCGGAAGAGAGGGTGGTCACAACTCGTTCCCGTAACTCTCGTCTTCTTCGAAACGAAAGGATTCGAGACGTCAAAATCGTCACGAAACCCATGAAAAATCCTCCTCTCCTCGGAAAGAGCGAGGTACGTGGGCGACCATTCATTTCTCGTATCCAGGGAGGGGAACGCATCCACTTAAACACGAGCGTTTATACAACGATCTCACGCATATCTTTTGCATAGTAAATCGCGATGCATTGTTGCGCGTTTCCGCGGAACAGGCAGCCGCTAACCGCGTGGTCGGTTAGTAGAGCGTTGCGTGCGCGGCCCACTCGCGGCTTTCTTCATGAATAAATCATGAAACACCCGAAATGCTAATGGTCGAAACGTCCGCCATGGGTCGTCGGATGTTTCTCCACCGGGAGAGAGTGGCTCGAGTCGTAAACAAAACGCGAGGAAGGGAGGGAGGGGGGGGGGAGGGCCAACATCGGTCGAAAATACGAGCTGATGATTCCGAATGGCCAGCCTTCACGCGCACTCGTCCCCCCTGTTCTGCCTGTTACCCATAAATAGGTTATAACCTAATTACGCCCATTGTCGCCGTGCGGTCACCGTGCGACGTTTCCGCGGAGTTTCTGCGTTGTGTGTACGCGTTCCAATTGTCGTTTTATTAGAAACGGATCCACCGTTGTTCGTGCGATCCCCGGAACACGAAGGAACACCGCTCCGTGAGAAAATGAAACGCGTGATGTATTTTGACGATTTTATTCTCGTTGTAATTCGTTCGTAACCAAACTTTGAGAATCCGCCCCTTAGTTGGAAGTTTGTTTTTATTATATTGCTTTAAGGATAAAGATCGGAATTGCTCGAGACGAATTTGTGAAAAAAATCCGCGAAGCATCCCCCTTGGCGGGGAAGTAATAATAATCATGGAGGATCGAGTTTCCTTATCGGTACAGCGATATCGATGTAGGTACAGGGGGAGCTGAGGTGGGGATTATTTAAGCGATCCGTAATCAACCCTTGTTAACGATCCAGCCGCGAACACGATGGTTCATCGGCACGTTTCATCCCGGAGAGAGAGTTGCTGATTCATAAGACGTAAAATGGGTCGGACGCGGGATGAACGGGTGGAACAATAGTTGGCTAATGATCAAAGTGCAAGCTGAGATGCACCCTGGAAACGGAGAAGATACGGAATCGAATGCGAGATGAACGTATTGTACGTTAGTCGTGCACCGACCATCTTGTGCGAAATCACGGGAGTTTGTTGTTGGCGAAGCAAAAAGGTCGAAGAAAAAATTTTTCGGAGATTTCGCCTAGAGGAGTAAAGGAAAAAAAAAAAAATAAAAAATCAGAAAAAGTAAGTCCTTTAACAATAAAATTTATTTTCTCTGAGATTTCTTCTTGCCGCTACGTCGTGGCGCGAAGTGGTTCAAAGTTGAAAATTACACTTCTTGCCCCCCGCATAATCTATCGTCACACCGAAACAAGAAGGTTAAACCTCAAAGGCGACAAGAAAGACGGTGGTAACCTCGAAAGTTTCCTACCGTTATGACCCAATGTCGCCTCGATACGTCGCATGCAACGCGTGAAAATACTACTCCTCGGGGAGGGCGAGTCAGAGTGGAGATAAGGTGGAGGAGAGGAGAAATTAATTGATTTCGAGGCAAGATCGCAAGGCGAGACGCAAGTTTGGGGTGGTTCCCATCGGCGCCCCTCCATCACTGTAACCTGTCGTTTCCACTTTTTATCATAACCACACCGCCATTATCCGGCCTGGCATTTTTCGCTAGCTTTCACCCGCTACTTGCCATCCTCGTCGCATTAAAGTTAGAATGCCACGCCGCGCGGCGTCATATTTAGGAAAGCGCCGCCTTTTAAGCCGGCCTGTCCATTAAAAAACAGCGTGATGGCCGGATAAACCGCGCCGAGTCGTCGTCGTCCTCGTCTCGTTTTTAAAACCGAATGGTGGCATTCCTTGAAAATCTTGATTGCAACGCTGCGTTTTCGCTCTCTCTCTTCGAGCGTAATGGAGCGTGGTCGATCCGCGTGCTGGATCCCCTTCCCGATGTCCTTCCATCGGCCACGAGTGGATGATTCGAAACGAAATCGCCGGATGGGAAGAAATACGAGGACGAGTAGTGGTGGCTTCTTGCTCGGTGGAAAGTTTAATCCTCCCTCGCTCTCCCTCCGTTTAAACGTTTACCTTCTTGAAACGGGTGTGTTTTCACGCTGGAAATGCGCGAATCCACTGTTTCGGGGATATCGAGAAACGTGTCGTTGCTGTCGATTCGCGTTAATAATTTGCGAGGGAGAAGAAGTTGGATGGAAAGCCTGTTTCTTTCCTCTGTGCCGAACGATCGAGGGGAGAAACGTTGATCGAAACGCTGGAATCGAAAGAACGAGCGAATGTTGTCAGCGAATGTATACACAACGGACAATCCGGTTAGGCGAATCGTTAGGCAAATTTCAAAAGTTGCGCGTCCTCGGCTTTCGATCGATTATTCGATATTCTGGTGGTGATTTAATTCGATTTCGCGACCATTTTGGAGGAGGGAAATGGAAAAAGTTGGAGAAATCGAGAGATCGAGTTTAAACCGAGCATCGAATTAACAGGTTATCCCCATCCCCTCGGCAGCAGTTTAGCATCTTCCCTTTTTATCCTCGAGTGTCCGGTTTTTGCGCGGCGGGAAGAAGCTGGAAGATAGTCACGAGGATTTCCCTGGGCGAAGAAAAGCGGTGGATACTTTTACCGGTCTCGGTGGAAAATCCAAAGCGGATAACTCACGCTCCGGAACGCTTAGCCGGGTAGGCGAGGAACACCAGCCAAAAAGTTTGTTTTATTCACGATTTACGGACGGGCAGCCGCCGCGCTTGGTGCCGCGCGAGACTCATAAAAGCTGGCTAACCTGGAATGAAACTCGTTCGGGGGGGGAGAGATCGGTTGTCGCGTTGATTCAAAACAAAAAACGCTATAAAATTCATCGATAGGTCGAACTATCTCTCTTTCCTTTTCGCGTTTAATCTTCCTCAGGATTTGTCCTTTACACGTTATAAGACGAAGGAACACGGGCGTGTAAATTATCCACGAAATTACGCGCGACACCGCGTGAGGAGGTGGTGAGAGAGAAGTTGGCGGGCCGCAGAGGTTATGGTAGCGATGATAAACGCGCTGCCTCGCCTGCAAATTGTAAATGCAGATTTATAGCAGATTTGTTTGCGGGGAAATTCGTTACTCCTTGCGGGGAGGGGATAAAAAAAGAGGAGAAAAAGAAGAGGAGAAGAAGGAGTCGGTGGATTTAACACACGTTCGCGGTATTACTTTCAAGTACTTTGAAGACTCTCTCTCTCTTTCCTTTTGGTTACGCAGCTCACGTAAAAAAAAATGTTCAAGTTTGGAGAGGGGGGGAGGGGATGGTGAATCCATGGAGCGAGGCGAGGAGCGGTTCCTTCGCGGCGCGCTTTTTACGATACCCCCGTGGCTTTTTTTGCCGGTCAATGAGGAGGATGCTCGAGGTATGGAAAAGATAAAGAAGAGAGGGAAACGGAAAGAGGAAGCGAAAGAAGAGGAGGAAGAAGCAAAAGTGGAAGAAGACGACGACGACGCGGGCAAAGAAAGGGGACGACGGGGGACTGGATATCGCCCCTATTGGAGACTCGACGAAAACGCAAAGTACAATCCACAGAGGCAGGATGCAGCCAGTCTGCGGAGCAACGTCGGCAAGAAACAATGCAGCCATCACGGCTCCAATCCCTTCGCTCGCTACCCCGCAATCTTATCGAGCCCCCAACCTACTTGTGTATCTCTCTTTTCCTCTCCCTGTGCACCTCCCTGGTTGGACGCGTCGCGTATTCTATTCGTTCTAGTCGTTGTGCTCACACATACCATACCACCACGGCCGAGTCGGTACAACGCAAGGGGGAGGGGACGCGAGGGGAGAGAAGAAATACAGCCGAATACGATGATTTGTAAGGAGCTAGACGAGCTGCGGAACTGCTCGAATACCGGTGAGGAAGAAGAGACTCGACGAGCCGAATCGCTGCACGGCTGAGATCCTCCTCTCTCTCTCTCTCTCTCTCCTCCTCTCCTCGAGAAGATCGTCCTTCTCTCCTCCTCC